GTAGGAAAGAGAATTTTTGTTGAATGAGTATGGTTTCCATATTGTGCTTTGCACTTAAAATAACCACCGTGATAAATCTTATGTTCCATGATCTTCTATCATAACAAAACATTCTGGAAAATATTTGAATATTTTGACAGAAATATTAAATACAAAAGTCAGTAAAAATGTCTCACAGGAGAAAACACAGACATGAAGAAAAATATAACACAAGGTTATATCAAATGAATATAATCTGAACGAAATGTGATAAGACCCTTTTGCCATTATGGAATACGGAAAAGATAGTAATTAATATAAGTCTTCTTAAAAGGTAGACTGGGGGAAATAGAATACCAAAATATGCACTTAAAACTTTCAAAACCCCAGGAAATAAGTAAACTGAGAGAAAACAAAATGTAATTTAATACACTATATAAGAAGGCAGAGAGGGGCTGATGAGATAGCTCAGCAGTCTAAACGCTTGCTTAAGCAAGCTTAGGCAGGTGCAGGGACCACGATTCAATCCACAGCACCACATGGTACACCATTAAAAAATTACACAAATGCAAATATAATTAACATTTTAAATAAAGATAAAACTCATCATAACACACAACAAACAAAATTAAACAGAACCTTATGCTGTGTAAAAAGGGCATGCCCAAAAACAACAAAAGGTTGCAAACTGATTGGCTAAAACAACAAAAATATAGGAGGTAAAAATACTAATGAAAACAAAGGATAATTTCATCAAAAGTAAACAAAATAGAGGTTTAAACCATAAGTAGTGATAAAGACATTCATTTTGTAATAGTTTAAAGAAAAAGAAAATACATATAATTATAGAATGATACATGATAAAATATATAAAAGAAAAATGAAAAGCTGTAAGGAGCAATTAACAAGTAGGTCAAAATAGTGATAATTACTGGCATAACTTTCTATGCTAGTAATTTCTATGCTGATTTGTGATAGACAAATGAGACAAAAACAATATAGAGAACATATTAATAATTAGAAACAATAATACATATATAAAAATTCTTCAAATAGCCTTTGAACAAAATCTGTTCTTCTTTTTTTTTATTTATTTATGTATTTGGTACATGGTCTCCCTACACAGCTCAGACTCGTAGTGAGTCTCCGTTTACTAGCCTGTTTTCAGCCACCCCAATGCCAGGATTACAGGCCTGCACTACCATGCCTTGAGTCAGTCACTGGCTCAGCACTCCTGGGGTGGGTCTGCGCAGCATGCAGAACCAGGGATCAAACCCTGGTCCCTGTGATTGCCAAATCAGGCTCTTAGTCCACCAAGTTATCTTGTCAGCCCTACTGTGTTCTTAAATCTTGGCTTACTTTTATACATATCGGTCACTTCCAAAGTGGTACCACCCTGAAGCTATCAGAAACACTGAGGGCAGATGCTATGGTGTCTATCCAGAGGTGACTAAGGAGAAATGGATTTTTTAAAAAAGGATGATTGGAAATACAATATGTGCTTACAGATAAAAATGCATTAGTTGCTTTAGAAAGAGAATTCAGAATTAAAAAATATAATCATTAGAGTTTCAAAATACTCTTCAGACATGGTAGCACCTCAGGAAAATCATCAACTAGGGAGAACAGGCTAGAAATCAGAAGCTATGCTTCCAGTTTAAGTTAGAAACAGAGAATAAACTCAAATATTAGAATAAAAAATTACACAAGATATGAAAATCAGTTAACATTTCTCATTGTCCATTTGTAAGAAGTCAATTTATCTACTAGTCATCTTAATTGCTATTAAGAAAAATAAAATAAAAGATGTTAGTTTTGTTCTTCTCTTCCTACTACAACATTTTAGAAAATACAATTTTACTGATAAGCATTCGTATGAGAAAAGTGAATTAATTTTTAAAAGACAATGGTATAGGTATTTCAATTGGGTAAGGCAAACTTTCCCTCATCTTGCTGTTATGAAGTCATTTACTTTAATTAATCTTGTCCCAACATTTTTTAGAAGTGTAAATTTCTCTTTTTAAAAGCAAGTATTTTTAACCTTTCTCACAAAATTTATCATCCTTTAAAATCAGATTTTCAGTAATTTCTTAAGAATGATCTTCATGTTTTCAAGGGCTTGTAAAACAACCTAAGTAGAAATTGACTGGCATGTATAACCACGTTAAATCACAGACTTCTAATTATTAAATATAACTATAAAGCTCTCTGGATCTAATCACGCATTTCAAGGCATCTGTAACTGTTTGCATGTAAAAGTATTTATGTGAGCCAAGTATTTTACCCAAAAGGTATTTTTTGTGCCCATTGCGAGGCAACACCCAGCTCCCCATCCACGATAGCTCATAATAGCATTCAGGTGTCATCAGCAACAGCGAACGTTCTTTGAACTTCAGCGGCACTGCACCGCAGCCCGCGAGTGCGTGTAAATAATGCTCAAAAATACTGAAGAAGTCATACGCTATTTAGTAGCTTGTTAATTCTAAAACAGATTATACACCCGAGAATGGATTTTAAGACTTGTTGAATTCATTTTGTAGCAATTTTAAATTTTGTAATCAATCAAGCAAATGAAATAAGGCAAAGGAAATTTTGTCTGCCTTTTCAGTTCTTGAATGTTTAACTTCATTTTCTTGCCTGCATGTGCTGATGATTAGCAACAAAATATTGAAAATGAAATGGTGGTAATGGATGTTCTTGTTCTTTAACTATCTCAATAGAAAAACTCGATCTCTTACCCAGTAACAATGGTGATTGTTATCCAGAATTTAAAAAAATATATATCTTTTCCTTGTTTGCTCAGAGCTTTTTTTTTTTTTGCTAAAATAGTAGCAGAACTTTTTCTTTATCTGACATACTTATCCAATTATTATATGTACACATATTACATAGGTACATACATGATAAACCTATAAACATATGCATATATATATTTGATTTGGTTATTGAGGTAGAATTGGCACATCTGTATTAACATGTGAGTCTGGGATGTGTTTTCTGTTACTATACTTTGTTTATCGTAAGTGGCATCAAGATTTTCTCGCCATGCTGTTATGGCTTGGGTCTGATGTCTCCCCATATCTCACGCAGTCATGGGTGGGTGGGTGTTTCAGAGATGGCAGAATCAGGAGTTTGTGACTGGTTCCTAGTCTAGTGCTCAGATTGGGGGGTGGGGTGCTGCAATCACCCTAGCGCAGGTACCCGGCATACAACATAAAGGTGGAAAAAAGCTCGCTCCCCCCTTTTGCTGCTGTTGCTTTTGCTGTCTTCTACTTCATCAACAGTTGCCCTCTGCCACGTGCCACCCGACTTTGGAGCCACCTGATATGGACTGATACCTCTACAAACTGTGAGCTAAACAAGGGTTTCCTCCTTGGACTTTGTATGTCAAGCATTTTGTTTCAGCAATGAGAGAAAAGTAAGTAATGTTACACATGCAAATAAGAATATATCTTCTTTATTTCTTTTTTTAAAGAGATTTTAAAAATTAATTAATTGATATATTTAATAGAGGATCCTGCTATGAAGCTCAGACTCATGGCGATCCTCCTGTCTCAACCTTCCCCAGCACTGGGATTACAGGTATGCATCACCATGCCTGGTACAGGGCATTAAATTGGGGGCCTTGGATTAGACCCCTGAGCTATCTCTGCAGACTTTTAAAGAATTTTATGCAGAAAATCATTCTTTATATCTTCCTTCAATGTTGTATAGATATCAATAAAGCCATTTGAGTCTGAGTTTTCTTTGTTAGAAAAAATTCTATCCCTTTAGCTAATAATTCTATCACTGTGCTGGTGGTAGAAATATCAAGATTTAAAAATATGTTTTGTATAAGAATTTGATAATATTTTGTAGGAATTTGCTTTTAAGTTGCAATTAGATAATATCCTTTTATTCTCAATATATAAACTATGTAGAGTTATAATAATTTCTTCTCTCAAAATTATTTGATTATATTTTCTCTGTTATTTTTATTTTTCTTGTATTATTATTATTATTTTTGCAGAACCAGGGATTGAACTCAGGCCCTTGCGCTTGCCAGGGAAGCACTTATTCCACTGAGCCATCTCCCCGGCCCAAGATAGTAACATTTTAATACTCACTTCCATTTTATTTTCATGTCATCAGTTTCAGATTTTAATGTTTTCCTATTTAAATATGTTCTCATTTTTACTCTTCTTTTTCTATTCTCTTTAAATAGATAGCACATTTATTTTCAGCTTTTTCATCTCCTAACGTAAACACTTCTGTATAGGAATTTCCTTTCAATTTTAGTTATGTTTCAGATTTGGCATTCAATATTTTGACAATTATAATCAAACAGAATTTCTAATTCTTAATATAATTTTTTCTTAGCTAAATTAAACATTTAGGACTGGGGAGAGAGCTCAGCAGCCTAAGCACCTGCCTGTCAAACACAAGGACCCAGGTACCACCTGCCGTGCCGGCCCAGGCAAAATGCCAGCCCCCAAAGCCCACTGGGCACGGTGATGCACGCCTGCAATCCCAGCGCTGGGGAGGCTGAGACAGGTACATCACTACAAGTCTGAGCTACATAGTGAGACCCTGTACTCAATAAATA